GATCGCTCATTTAATAAATAAATTACAAAGTTTAAGTTTTATAAGCTCAAATGCTCGCCTTGCTCTGTTCTGTGATGCGCGTTCGTGACTCTCCCATTCAAACTCGTTCATCAAAATGAACAAATCTTTTTCCGTGTCATTTGGTTCATTCAACGAACAAAACGAACAAACGCGCATCACAGAACAGAGCAAGGCGGGCATTTGAGTTTATAAAACTTAAACTTTGTTATTTATTTATTAAATAGCGATCGTTTCGCTTGATAAGACCCTTATTCATCGTCTAGAATCGTTTAAAGCCCTTTGAACAGTTTGCACTGAAACTGTCTTTTGGACCTTGAACCATTTGGTTCCCAATGAAGTCCATTATATGGAGAAAAATCCTGGAATGTTTTCATCAAAAACCTTAATTTCTTTTCGACTGAAGAAAGAAAGACATGGACATCTTGGATGACATGGGGGTGAGTAAATTATCAGCAAAATTTTTTTATTAAAACTGAACTACTCCTTTAAAGGGATACTCCACTTTTTTTGGAAATAGGCTCATTTTACCACTTCCCCAGAGTTAAACAGTTGGGTTTTACCGTTTTCGAATGTATTCAGACGATTTTCAGATATTTAGAAGAATATCAGTAACCAGACAGTTTCTGGTATCATTGACTTCCATAGTATATTTCATTTCCTTCTATGGAAGTCAATGAGACCAGAAACTGTCTGGTTACTGATATTCTTCTAAATATCTGAACATCGGCTGAATGGATTCAAAAACGGTAAAACTCAACTGTTTAACTCCGGGGAGTTGTAAAATGAGCCCATAAAAAGTGGAGTATCCCTTAAAAAGAGACAGATGTAAAGATCCAAAAGGTGATGTATTACTTCATCTAGTGACATTTGGGCCGTATTTACACTGCAGGTCTTGATGTCCAATTCCAATTTGTTGACCATATTCATTTTTTTTTATTTGGACAATCCAGCTTACGTCTTTTTTTTTTTTTTTTTTTAAACTGACCCATATCCCATATCTCAGTGTTTCCCAACCCTGTTCCTGGCGGCACACCAACACTACGTGTTTTCTTTGTCTCCCTAATCAAACACACCCGATTCAACCCATCAGCTCATTAACCCACCTGATTATGAGCTGATGGGTTGAGTCAGGTGTGCTTGATTAGGGAGACAAAGAAAACACGCAGTGTTGGTGTGCCGCCAGGAACAGGGTTGGGAAACACTGCCATATCTACATTAACACTATGCACTTGCCGAAATAACCCAAGGTACAGTAGACGTACTGACCCAGAAAAGCTTAGGCCAAAAAGGAAGTAAAACAGTGTAATTTGTATTGGACGCAGACAAAATGATAATACAAGCTTTTGCTTTCCTCGGGATCTCTAAAGGTCAGCAAAACATTGATGTCAAACAGGAGAGCAGCCTGAGATTTGAATAGGGTCATGTGATCGCGGTTGGTGTTGACGTCATTCGCCACCTTCGCTTTTTCAATGACGTACGACTCGCATTGAATTGTTGTTTGCATATTGTGACATGATAGGTGCAAATGCATATATCTGATTCATATCAGATTTACTTCCACAAATGAACGAGGCCTTAAACCGATCTGAGAATATCGGATTCCATGTGCTTTTTTTTCTGCTTACAGTTCATGGGTCACATCCGATCTGTGCCACGTGGGAGGAAAACAATCAAAATTGGGTCACTTGAACCATTGGGTACATGCAGCCATAGAGACTTTCTGAGCAGGCTTTAGCTAATTTCCATTGAAAATAAATGCTTAGAAACAGCATAGCTGTTCCCTGGAAACCACCCGTAACCCCTTGACATCAGTTGCAAGTACTTGCAACGCTTTCTCCCAATAATGTAAAACTTTCAGTTTCAAATCTGAAATCAAGGTCACCGGGAGGGTGGACCATGACTTGACAAGTACTCATTTTGTAGTTTGTTCATTCTTGTCTTTCATGGTATTTCTTTTTTATTTTACTATCAATGAGGGTGCAGTAAACACACTGTCGACAGCACAATAAGCAGTATTGGGAGTAACGCATTACAAGTAACACAAGTTACGTAATCAGATTACTTTTTTTTTAAGTAACTAGTAAAGTAACGCATTACTTTTAAACAGAGCTGATTACTTACAAACTGTAATCGGTTACAAATTACATGACAAAAATTGTAGTTAGTAACGTAATCCGTTACAATACACATTTAAGGCAATATAATCTGACTACTTTTGGATTACTTTTAGATTACTTTTGACCTAATTTGTTTATTACATTGATCTGAGTATAATAATCGTTTACCATATTGATATAAAAATACAAAGAGAAAAAAAATATAATCCTTTCTTTGTCATCAACAACATGAAGTGCATTCAATATTAAATTACGTCAAGGTTTCCAGACTGGAGTTCGTGATGCACTGCAGAGGAATTTTGAGTTTAATGAAAAGCTATCAGGTAATAAATAAATAATTAAAATAAATAAAAAGATAATTTATTTATTTGTTTGCCTGCATGTCTTGTGACCTTTAAATTTAATTAATTTTCATTTTATTATTATTATTATTAACTGAATTTTATGATTGACCTAACTTACAAATTAAAATCTATGGGGAGTTTTCAAGTAAATATATGAAGTTTCAGCTGACATAAAAAGTTCCTTGCATTGCAAGGACCGAAGCGCCCTCGCCCTCAAAGTACTTGGACGTGGCTGTGGTTACAAGAGGTAAAAAACTATATAAATACTTTTCGTTTTCTCACACAAACCGCTCGTTTCGTGTCTTAGGCCATCAACGTGTACTTACATTTATGAGTCATTAAATCATGTTTAATTTGGACTTCTCTGTGCATGCTCTTTGAGGTGGACCCCCTATTTATGGCATTATATGACTGACAGACAACAACGGTTTGACCTAAAAATATCAAAATTTAAAATATTGTGGAAACAAATACACCTACATCTTGGATGCCCTTGAGATAAGCTAAAACACATCAAAAATAAAATTTCAAACTCAACTATCCCTTTAAAGTTACTTTTTCAAATAAATGTAGCAAGTTTAAAAAATAGAACTTTTAATCGTGTTATTAAAAATAAAACAAAGACGCCCAACCAAGGTGAGAAAATGGAACGCAAAAGTAATCACTACTTTATAAAAGTCACTTTCCCCAACACTGCACATTTACACCTGAGAGAACGTGCCCACAAACAGCTGACTATCAGTGAGTTCTGGTAAAGGTCTGATCTGCACATGCGTGTCTGGTTGCCTTTGTGTGGCTGCTATGAAACTGTTTCCTGGGTACAGCTCTCGTGTGTTGCGAGACAGGCGTGTATTTTTCTCGTTTTACTGTAAACGTCAGTATAGCAGGAAGAAGAAAAAGGCAAAGGGTACTGAATACAAAACGTACGAAAGCACCTCACCTCTCTGTGGTGGCTTTTTTTCTCTTTCAACTATTAGTCAAGATTTAAAATTTTGTCTGATAATTCCATGACCTTAAAGCATTTGGTTTTTGTTTTATTGCAAAAGGGGATAATTTAGCACAGCATGAAACCAAAACACAAGTTTGTGTTTGAACATGAATGAATCACCGTATGCAGTTTTCAATGAAAAGGTGTGTATGTCAGCGTAAAGCGCTTCATCAAGGTCTGAACACTGATACCAATGGATTCATATTTATTCTGCTAATGTATTGATTGTCGCATGCACATTGTCTTACTCACACAAATACAAGAGGTCTCTATCACACTCGCATTCTCAGACGAATCCTCACACACACTCCCCAGCTGTCTGAGTACACTATAAGCACATTGCGTGACTACAAATCTGACTGGTTTCCCAGCAGACTTCAAGTGCAAAAGAGTTCGAAACAGTCACACCTCTTCCCTTTCGTCACAATCTGTACCGAGTAAAGACTCAGAGATAAAGAGATCAGCTGTTACTACACACACACACTAGTCAAAGATGTGGACACTTGACTGAATTAGTTATTCTTATTATAAAGGTTTTGATCTAAAGGCTTCGGCTTGCATGCTTGAAATTAGTTTTCAAAACAAATATAAATGGGCTGTAAGCTAGATTTTAATACAAGTTTCATATTGCTATAGAATACACTTTTAGAAGAAATGGTTCTATTTAGAACCAGAAATGGTTCCATCCCCCGCTTCATATATGGAACTCCAAAATGGTTCTATATAGAACCTTTTTTTTTTGGTAAAAGGTTCTATTGGCCAAGTATGGAAGCACAGGGTTCAATATAGAACCCAGAGAAACCCTTTTTTTAAGAGTGTATAGAACCTTTTAGGGGTTCCAAATACGTAGCGCTAATAGAACCTTTTAAGGTTCTATATAGAACCTTTTCTTCTACGAGTGTTAGTAACAATAAAGGAACGAGTAGGTGTTTTCAAGCTATTGACTGTTCACACCTTATTGGGCTTAAAATGTGGATAGAATCTGATTATGTACTTTATACAAAAAGAAAATAAGGTTGAATAAGTTACTTATAGTCAGTAGAGTGTCTGAAGTGGACAATCGAACTTAAGTGTAACTCGGAAATAAAATGGGTAACACTTCATTTTAGTATCTTTGTTGCATGTACTTACAAATTATGCATACACACAACTAACACTAAACCAAACCCATGTACTAAGTAAATATTACTCAGTACTCAAATGTTTGGTTACAGTGTAAGAAAGGTACCTTAAAATAAAGTGTAACCATAAAATGTTATCATTTGTAATTCCATTTTAATGGCTATATAACTGCTTATCTCTCCTCACATATTATATCTACTGACTTGTCCAAGGTTGCTCCTTTAAATACTGAGTAAAGTATTACTGGAACGGCCTTGTTGGGGAGAGCGAGGGGAGGATCATTCCCGCTCGCTTAAGTGAGTATCTCTGAATCAACTTTAACCCTTTCCAGCTGCGGGAATCTGAATCACAGGCGCCGGCAGCTCTGATTCATCAACGTTTGAGAAATGAAAAAGCCAAGACATGGAATTCATTTGTACAAAAATACTGCTTTTTAATAAATTATTGAAATGTTCTTTGTCATATAAATATAAATACGTAACATCAAGAGATGTCTTTACAAAAGATAACCGATCTTCATATATGTAAACAGTGTCTTGTATGACAAGGTGAAACTCATGTAATATTAATACATTCAATAACAAGCAGTGCCGTTTAAACTGCTCCCGGCACTGACACAAACACACGTCGACTCTACAAAACACACAGACATTTTGTTTCAAAGTGTCGCTCTTTCAAGTACAAGTTATGTTTTTATACATGTTCAGTCCTGGTGTGTTTTAATCCGAACTGCTTTGACTCTTTTGTTCCCGGCCAGAAGTCGTTTCTCAACAGCTTGTGCCTCAGTGCTGTTACTCACTTCTTCCCTTTTCCCTTGAAATGCACAAATATTTACTTGGAAGAAGGCGGTGGCGGCTGGTTTCGGTTAAATGGCTTGCAGTCTCCCTGCAGATTCGGGGCAGTGCAGAGGCAGAGATTGGTCTGGCAATGGTACAAGCGAAGGGACAGTACAAATGTCCATTCACTGGCAAGAACGAGGCTTTGCGATCAGTCACGTTAGTACCCACCAACTCCATGTACTCATGGACAGTTCAATACTTCTTTGGCCCATCAAGCCTTAGAGAACCTTTGGGGCTTTGACTAGCCTCATCGCTCCCCGTTTCTTCCTTCGACGTAGCTCACAGATCAGTGCATCTCCATCGGCTAGCAGTTGTTTAAATGGGAGCATCATACTCTTGTAGGAAGTCTTTGAGCTGTTGGGGCAGCTGCTCTTTCTTGTCAGAAACGTCTATATGTCCATTCACGGTCTTCCTGCAGAGGTGTTGCAAGGAGGACATTATGCAAGGTAGGGGTCTTAAAAGTTCCAGAGGGATTTTCTCCCCCCCAGTGTAGATGTAGTAGGCGCTCCTTGAGTTCCCAATGGACAGGGCGCTTCTGGGCGAGGGCATGTAGTGATGGACGAGCTTCAGCACGCAGTCGAAGCGAGGCACGGACTGCACGCTCTTGGAGTCCGTCTGCAGGAAAAAGGACTTGCTGTCGCACTGAACCCGCAAGTTCTTGGTGCCCGACTCGGTCTTAACGCTAAGCGTGAAGAAGTGCCGGTTGTCCGAACTGTCCCTGACCAGAAAGGTCCCGCTAGTCTCCGAGCTCAACAGGTGGTTGGCCTCTTTTCCGCTGATGGACCCCCAGTAGAAGCCGCTCTCCTGGAGCATTCGGATGGCGTGTTGCACCATCTGGTATTGCAGCCTTGAGCTGAAGGTTTTGTAACGGTGAGTCGGCAGCCGCATGCTTGCGTCAAAAAGGCTGCTGCTCATTGCGGAGTCAAACTTGCTGTGGGTTACCATGGCGTGCTGGAAGCAGGAGCCTGTGGAGAAAGACTTCGATGAGTACCACAGGAAACACACGTTCAATGAGACAATGGGGTAGGGGTTTGAAGCCAGTTTTCGAACAAAGACATTTTAACTGTTCTATCACTGCAGATTGAAGTACATGAGGTAAAGATACCTAGAACTTAGTCAAGTACATTATTATTGGTTGACAAAATGTAAAAAATAATTAGCTAATAGGCTCTTACTCCTTATATTGGCTGAACATAAGTGTCGGTAAAACTTTATTTTGCAGTGTACTTGTTACATACTGTAGTAATAACTATAAATTGTATATAATTACGTGCAACTAACTCTAAACCTAACCCTATAGTAAGTACATGCAGTTAATTATTATTACTATGTATTTTAGTCTGTAAGACGAACACCTTAAAATAAAGGTTTACACTTTACACTATAAGTATTCATTCAAGTACTGAGTAATATTACAAACTACATGTATAGGGTTTAGTTTATGGTTTTTTGAATGTAATAATGCACAACTTATAGTTATTAGCCTACATGCAACATAGCAATCACATGATAAAATGAAGTGCGACCAATAAAGTGTAATTGTGTATAGTATGTAGGTATTAAGGAGTAAGAAGTATTAAGTTAAGCCAATAGAAAGATGGAGCTGGCACTCTGATTAGTTTACCAAGAATATATTCTGAAAACCTCTCTTACCTTTGAGTCTCTTTAGATAGATGAGAACTGTAATATCCACAGTAGTAGGCTACTAGTCTCCTCAGCTTGTGTCTCCTTAAGAGAAGTTAGTGTTTCTCTTCGCTGGTCGTGCTGAACTTCTGTGTTATTTGTAGTGCCTCCTCGTCGTCATGTTCTAGTTTGGCTCCGCCCAGGGTTCTTCCAGTAAGGGTAGGTTGTCAGTAATACTATTCCTGGTACTTCACATGCTCTCCCCTCCCCCTCTCTCCCTCTCTCTCTTTCTCTCTCTTTCTCTCCTCGTCCAGATCTGCCGTCTTACTGTAAACGTATTCCCTGACACAACACCTCCCCATTGTTGATGTACAGAGACCGTTTCCTAGTAACAGTGATATTTCGAATTTCGAATTCTACACCAGTCCTTGGGCACAAATTCCCGCCATGTGTGCATTCTCGCGTGTTAAATAATCTGTTTACATGATATAGTAGTGTAGGCAAAGTGTATGGTATTTAACACATTTGAGAACAACAACATACTAACACGACTCGTGAGCTCTCTCTCTCTCTCTCTCTCTCTCTCTCTCTCTCTCTCTCTCTCTCTCTCTCTCTCTCTCTCTCTGACACACAAACACGATAATCTGACTGAATATCTGTCCACAAGAGGACGCTAATGTTGTCGGCTTAATTTACTAATAAAAGATAAACATATAGCACAAAGCATACGTTTTATTTGATCTAGAAACGTTAATTAGCTACTTATATAAAATTGTGCAAAGCATGTATAGCCTAATAATCATGTTTGTAGCCTACATAAACATGTATTTACATGATAAATAGGCTTTCTGAAAGACTAAATACATTTTAAAAATACAATAAATATATAAACCTTAGTTATAGGTAATGACACAAAATGCAATTAAAAAATCATGAAATTCCAATTTCTGAGGGAAAAAATCAATTGTAGCCTACTTTTCATTCAAATTTATGGTAACACTTAAAGGTTCATTACTTAACATTAATTAACTAACATGAACTAACATTGGGCAATACATTTGTTACTGTATTGATATGTGTTAATGTTAGTTAATAATACAGATGTTTATTGTTTGTTCATGTTAGTTCACAGTGCATTAACTAATGTTAACAAATATGACATTTGATTTTACTAATGTATTAGTACATGTTAAAATTACTATTAATAAGGTTAATAAATGCTTTAGAAGTATTGTTCATTCCTAGTTCATGTTAGGTTAACTAAGACAGTTAACTAATGTTAAATAACAAACTGTCTTGTAAAGTTTTACCAAATCTATTTGAACACTTTCCAAACCAAGATATAACTACTCATTATTAAAAAAAAAAATAAAAATAAAAATAAAAAAATCATCAAATAAGTCACCTTGACTAATCTGGTTTCACATAAACAATACAGTCAACAGCATGGGAGCGTGAAGCTCATTTACTGAGAATGCTGAACCTCCTCAGGCAGAAACACGAACTAAAATTACCATGAAAATATGGGCAGTCTGGCCGAGAAAAAGGAACAGAAAGACACGCGTCTTATTAGAAACTGGACAAAATATAGCATAGTGTATAAGAGGCTACTACTGGTCGGTTTTCCATTCGTCCTCACAGGGAAAACTGCACTGGACTTTCCAGAGCGTTTTCAAGTACAGTTTTTCATAGAAAGGAATTAAAACACGACTGATGTCACAGTTCTTATTTAAAGTGAATTAATACAACAGAAAAACAGTATCAGTATCATCATCGTTATCATCTTCAGCGATCAAGAAGATTTCCTGGTGTCAGTTTTCCTGCTAACACAGAACCAGACTTATGCGGGAACAGTACGGTAATGAGAAGTCAGTGCACTTGCCAGATAGCATTTGCTCAGAGCAAATATGTAATGTTGATAATTGGTATATGAGATCCAGGAAGGGTTTTATGATATTTAAACAAAGCTAGTTTACCAGAGGACCGCTTATCAAGCTCATCTCGTAAAAGCACTCGGACTATTGCAGAGTAAAGGAGGGATGTGGGTCAGGGAAGATAAGAGTTGAGTAAAAGGTTGGATTTTTGCCGGATTGGACAAGATGACGTTACTGTAAGACATTTCACAGTTTTAGTGAAGAAATGAGTTGGTGGTAATTCGCGTGAATGCAGAAATGTCCTCGAAATGTCCAGTATTTTCTGTTCTGCTTCCAGCTCTCGTTCTCTCTGACATTGTAAAGGGAAGGTGATATCATTTATTACACATATTACACAAATAGCGCACGTTCACATAAAAATAGCCATTTTCCAAGAAACACATACAGTAAATGCATATATACAGGAAGAAAAAGGTGATTCAAGGAAGTATTTCCACGTATATCACACTTTGGTAAAGCTTTATTATTTTTATGTATTTATAAGTATTATTTCCGGATGTATTTGTTGTTTTGATTAATATGCTAATATGTTTGAAATGAAACTTTGCAGTTGGTTATGGCAAAACAAATATTTCGAACACATACATTTGATTACCACAATCATTTACTTCAGTTCCAAATAAGAAGAGAAAACAAATTATACTGTAAAAATTAATCCGTAATTTTTACGGAGAAAAAAAACGGCAGCTGTGGTTGCCAGAACTTCACCGTTAAAAATACGGTAGGAACGTTAATGGTTTTACAGACTTAACTTAAAATTTACAGCAATAAATCGTGTCTTATTTTCTGATGAAATGTTGATTTAGCAACCTTTTGATAAATTGATATCTGTTTTGTACCATTGTAATACACTGACAACCAACAATCATCACAGCAATGATGAGAATTACATGAGCGATCAAAGCTCATCAAAAGTAGACTTCCATTAGAAGATTAATACTTATATAAAGAAGCTGCACAGTATCATTCACACAAACATTAATTACCATCAAGGTAACGCACATGAAATAAAAAAAAAATGCAAAAATAAAAAAAAATTAACTTAATTAAATGTAACGTAAAACCCTAATCTACATAATTGATTAGAAAAAAAAAATAAACAACAAAAAAACTACTAGTAACCTTAGTTATTTCAATAAAAATACATAAAATGTGAGGTGTAACAGAGAATTGTGGGAATGTCAATTTACGTTTTTTTCACTGTAAATTATACAATGAGTTGTTCTTTTTCACTTTCAAAAACTGTAAATTTAACGGTATTTTACAGTAAAATCGTATCACAGTTATTAACCGTATATAGTACGGAAAGTTTCTGTTAACCAATTAACAGTTTTGCACTGTAGCATTTTTACAGTCTTTTACCATTAAAATCACGATTATTTTTTACAGTGTATGCCGTTTTAACCGTTAAAAAGTGTGAATTGATTATTTTATCCAACATATTGAAAACATATTACTCATACTAATATCCAAAGTGTAAATGACTGAATTTATGTTTCATTAAAACATTTTAGCGAAAGTCTCCCTCTTAAGTCACACTGTACCTTTAAGAAAATCATGCAATTAACGTTTTATTCATTCACAGTGTGCAGGAAAACTTAATAATTTGAATATGGAAGGATTGCTGTTTTAGCAAATCCATAATTATATGACATCATTCACAGTTTAGTATGTCATTTTAATCAAATAAAGTCGCTTATTTCCTTGTTTCAGTGTAGAACTGCTCTCTGCATGCAAATTAAAATCTACAGCAAACGTTGTTTCCTCAACGCATTGGGAACACTGTTCTATCGATGATATTATTAGAATCCAGATAGGTCAAATATTTTGCAAGCGAACTTGATAAGCATGTTGGCTTGTGTGTGATACGATCTGAGGTTTCCTGTGCCATCTGTGTTTCATCATGATTCATGTGCGGGGAAAACCTGGTAGTGAGATCGTGAGCCGCTTATTAAAAGAAACCTGTCGGATTCACTGAAGCCATGTGATGTCTGCTGATACTACAATGCTTTCAGACAAGGTATTGTTGTGTTAAACAAACATACAGACAAAAAAAGCTTGATGCAGAAGCTCATTGGCATAATGGGATGGAAAAGAAAACACGCCTACATGAGAAGCTCCTAATTTTACTAATTATTTGTACATGATAATGCTTGTCTTTACAGTAAGGAAGTGTCCTGACAGCATGTTGGGAATCAGTTTTCCTCATTTCCTTTTGGAAAATAGGAAACCGTTTAAAGTTACTGTAAAGAAAGAACCGTAAAAAGAAAATATTTGTTTAGCAAATGATTTCCACCCCCCCCCCCTCCCTGAATATATATCAGCAATATAACATTAATAATTTACTATCAATGGAATGTCAACATTGTATTCCTATCAAGTTGAAATCACCCGTGTATGTGTGTGTGTGTGTGTGTGTTCCTGCTAAATTGTGGGAACAAAATGCCCGTATAATACCAGCTGGGGACATTTGTTTTGGACAATTTTCTGTGAGGGAAAATAAATCCTGTTTGTTTACATGAACAGAGCGAACAAAATAATGAAGTCATTTTCCAACCTGAAAATCAGGCTCAATCCCGACTGGCACGCTTCGCTCACAGAGTCTGAAGTTTTCCACTAATGATCTCATTGAGGGAACAGTAATCTTGGCTAACCCGAACCCTTCAGGAGTCCTGACCGGGCAGAGTGGACCTGCTGTGGGCGAGTGTCTTCAACCCTCTGGAGAGTTCAGCGCACTCCTTAACCAGCACAGATCCAACTCTTCAGGATCAAGTCACCTTCAGTTATACAGCGCTTTTACCAATATAGCTTGTTTCAAAGTGGCTTTACCGTGACAATAGGAGATTACGGTAACAGAGATTGTTTGGCTTTACAGCAGCTGTAGAATAAAGCTATTGTCCAGCTAAAGTTAGTTTTGATTGATTCATTTCCGTTGCAAAGATCATTCGTTAATGGGTTGCTTACGCAACACCGCTCTAACAGAAAACTTTTAATGTGTTTTTGAAGCAGGTTGGAAAGATTGCAGGGTAGCAGGTCTCGGGGGCAGGACAGAAGATCAGGGGCCTCATTCAGAAAATGTCGAATTGACCGTTCGCAAAGACCCGCCCTCCTTAGTTACGATGAGGAGTCGATATGTCCATCAAGCTACACCGCTCTCACATGCCACACCATGTTCTCATAACACAGTCTCATCCCAAGAAGTCATATAACTGACGTCTTG